CGCTGAAATAACTCTTCATTAAAATTTTTAAAAGTTCTATAAGTAATAAACTTGTGCTTTACCTGTATTTTATCATTTAACTTAAAATCACAATACACCATAGAGTGGTCTGAGATTACTTTCGGCATAACACCTTTTTTATACAATGAATCCTTAGGAATAATGACATAGTCTAACAAAGTTTCCGACGTTGCAGTGATTCTAGTAGGCTCATCAATTACTTGTTGCAAATTAAATGACTCTAATACGGAATAGAAATTTTTAACAATCGTATTTTCATAATCAAGTAAATTTAAATTAAAATCTCCCATACAAATAATTTCATCAGCTATAACATACATACCACCAAGACTATCTTCAAACTCATCTAAAAAAACTTTATTATTCTGTTCATGAGGTTTATAAATATTACCTATAACAAATGATTTTTTATTTATGGTCATCTTAATCCATAACTGTTCCCAAGTGTAATCTTGTTTAGTAACAATTACCTCGCTGCGTATGCTACTTCTAACGTATATGCATAAGCCCTTACCATTGCAGTTCCTATCAGCCCTAAATAAACAATAGTTATTAATATTTAAAACAGAATTATTAATATAATTTTTTAACCATGTTTCGCATAATAAAAAAACATCAAAATTATTTTGCAGTATAATTTCCTTTACATCATGTATCGAAGGTAATAACGACCTGGCATTTGCGAAACCAATTTTCAAAAACTCCATTTTTAAAATCGTAAACAAATTGTTTTATTAAAATAAATTCAAACAATTCAGGTACCACTTATACCAATTAATATTCTACTAGAAAATTAAAAATATATTTTTATCAGTATCACACTGTGACAAAAAACCAAAATAAAAGGCACGGTTCAATTGCACATATTGACCGGTGCTGCGAAATTAATCCAATTTTTATTTTTATTCACATGCAAATTGCGGTAAAATAACTGAATATTGTGAATTTAGAAAGATGTTAAACAATATTTCTAACAATAAAAAAATAAATATCCACAAATATTATAATAACCAAAGGAGAAAACTCAATATAAATTAAGTTTACAAAAGCAGATAACTCATAAATTCATTTTTACATTGTACATTGTAATTGCGCCGTATTTAAAATAACGACAATTAACCTGATGAAAAAAAAAACAAACAAATTCTAAGAGGAACAAAAGAAAGTAATTCACAAATGATACTCGGAACACAAAACTCACTCTGTTGCTCCAGGAAGAGCATTCGCATCATCCATTGTAAATATCTTCATAATTTGATTCATGTTATCATATTTTACAAATACGTTGCCATAGCTGGTCCACACTTTTCCATTTTTACCCACCTTTTCCAGTGCAGCTTTTAAAATTTTTGTTTTGTTAGGCGTCAAATCTTCTCTAGCTACAATCTTTGTTTGTTTAAGTAACTTTTTATTTTTATAAACTATTTCTTTATAGTATCTAGAAGAAAATTTCACTAAAATGGCTCTATTTTTATTTTTAGTTTTTCTTCCTATTCTATAACATGATTCAATGCCAGCCTCATCTATATTTAAAGTCATTGTATCAGCAAATAAGTTTAACATAGTCCTGCTACATACTTCTCCTTGATTCTCCTTTATTCCATAGAATAAAATATTTCGGCATCTAAATATTTCATCTTGTTTTTCTTGTTTTCTTCCTAATACCTCTATGATTGTATCCTGATTTTCAATCTTTTCATTCAATCGCATGTTTTCATCTTTTAGCTTTCGAATGTCTTCTTTAAACTCTTTACTAATATTTTCAATAATAACTTTGGTTATTTTACTAATAAAATCCTCAGATGTACACAAAGTTGTTACTATAGTTTTAACTAATGTGTGCAGTTCTTCTTCACCTTTTGTTGAATTCTTTCTGGTTGTTTTGCCTTCCATATTGAAAAAACAGATTTCAGATTTGCAAGGTTCTATTGCACTTTTTAACTTAAATTATATATCAAACCTTTTCTTCACACTCTCACTAGTAGCTAATAAAGTTTTGTAATTTTACTTGCACATTTGCTAACTATTTTACGGTTTTAATACGCAGCGACACAGCAACACGTCTATTCAACACGACCCATCAACACCACAATATCAGTCCATTCGTTTTTCCAGCAATTTATCACATTTTGTTTTAAAGCTGAGTATACGTCCCTATAAGACACGGTATTTAAAAATTTCCATTGAGGATTGAATCTTTAGCCAGTCGATCAACTTTTTCATTTCCTGTAATACCTATGTAGCTTTTAACCCAAATAAACGTTATTTTGATTTCAAATAAAAAAATTTTAATATTACACAGTGTATTACATTTTATTTTATTAACTTGTATATTTTGAATTGCTTCCAATGCTGATCTTGAATCTGCTATTATTACTGCTTCGCGAATATAATTTGTTGAAAGCCATTTCCAGGCATTTTCTATTGCCACCATTTCTGCGGTGAAAATACTACATATACCTATAAGGCAATTTAAATTGTTGATATTGCTTGGTGGTTTGAACATACATAGCACATCCTACCCCATTTTAGGTTCTAGAACCGTCTGTATATATAACTGTATGTCCCGCATAATTACTTAAAATTGTTTTTAAAAGATTTGAGTTCATTTGCGTTGTGTCTGAGTATAAGGGGATTATGACTTTATGTTTACTTATTAACACTCGGTAAGGAAAACGGTATAGTCGTAAAACATTTTGTTCTATTAAGTATGAGTAAGTATTAGCATGGGTAAAAGCTTCTGTGAGCGGTGGAGTATTCTTCTTTCTCCTAAAGGAATTTGTTAGATTTTCTACATTGAGGGATGCTGTCGTCTATCAAGTTTGAACCAAAACTATTTATTTTAATGAAAAAATTTTGTGCCAATATTTGCCTGCAAAATTTCAGAGGCATCTCATTACATTCAGCTAATAACGCATATGTAGGTGTTGATACCATTACTTATAGACAGATTCTAAAACATCTATATTGTATTGTCTATAATTTTCAAGTTAGTGTTACTAGCTGATCCGTATAAACAACACCCAAAATTGACCGCATATAGGACCTGTAAAACATTAGTGAAACTTTAGGGTCGGCGCCCCAATTTCGGTTAGTAATACAATTTAAAGTTTTGATACCTTTCTCACATCTACCTTTAATATACTTAATATGTTTTGTCCATAATAATTTCGAATCCAGAACGATTCCAAGGTATTTATATTCTTTCACACCGGGATGATGCACTCGCTCAGGGTTAGGTTTCCTGGCGTGTGCAATCTTTGCCGTGTAAAGAACATTATTGAAGATTTTTCGGAAGAAAGTACCATACCAGTTTCATATGTCCACGACATAACTATGCTCACAATGAATTGGAGGGTTCTATGGCATTCGTCGTAAGTATTTAGAGTGGAGTATATACAGATATCATCTGCATATTGTAGACATTTAATATCATTATTGAACAAATCATGGATACTGGCTGAATATATAATTAAAAGTGTAGGACTAAGGACCGAACCTTATGGTTAACCTTGAGAGACGGTTCTAGGTCCATGGAGTATATTTTTATGGTCTCGTATAAAGGTAAAAGATTTAGTTCCAGAGCCAGTAGCTAAAGATTCTAATGTACAAGAACTTCCTTTAAAAGAGCAGGATAAATGAAACACAAACACGTACTTATACATCCTAAAGAAGATAAATGCACAAAAATGTTTTCTTCTGCTAAATACTTTGATATTTTTGAAGTTTAATGATAAGTTTTTCTGTTTATTATCCAATTGTAATAAAATCAGTTCCTAAGTAAAAACAGAGTTTTTCATTTATACCTGATTTTCCTCAAATGCTAAAGTTTTAAACATTAATAACTCAAAACTAGGACATTAGGCCAGGTCACATGAGTATCTCAAGGTTAGTGACAGGAGACGTGCTAGACATGAGATCAGACCACATAACCAAGAGGTACTCTTTTAATACTCCCTTTGAGGTTTTAATACAGGAAAGAGCGGAGATCACCATAAGGGAGCCCAATGCCCATCGACAGGAACAAACCTGGTATACAGACGGGTCTAAGACTGCGGAAGGCACTGGGGCAGGAGTATTCCCCAAAAACCCTGATACTAACCATAGCTATGCTATAGGAATACATTCCTCGGTATTTCAGGCCGAGTTATACGCAATTTTGCAATGTGCAAAAACGAACAATGAAAGAGCTGTCGAAAATCAGCATATTCAAATAATGTCAGACAGCCAAGCGGCACTTAACGCCATATCGAGTCAGAAAGTTATGTCGAGGCTGGTATGGGAATGCATCGAAGAACTAAGAACACTGGCAGACCGAAACAGAGTAAAACTATTTTGGGTGCCAGGTCACAAAGGGATCGAAGGCCACGAAAAGGCTGACGAACTTGCAAGAAGAGGGTCAGAAGAAACACCGGAACCAGACACAAACCCAGGAGAACCAACAAGTACAGTTCGGGGTTTTATAAATGACTGGATTCGGGAACAACATATCAACTATTGGGGAAGCACCCCAAAACAGGCACATGGAAAAGTCTTCATAGGCAGACCATGTCCCAAAAGAACTGGAGAACTACTCTTAATGAATAGGAACCAGTTGAAAGTGATAACAGGGTTCACGACTGGGCACGCCCCAGTAAAGGGACACTTGAACAAAATTGGCATGTACAATGGGGAACTCATGAGCCGACTACGTCACAAGAAACCAGAAACGGCCAAACACATACTGTGCGAATGCGAAGCTCTAGATCGTAAAAGACAGGCTCTTTTTGGACAACTCCAGGTTGATCCAACAACGTATAGAACCCACTCACTCAAGGAACTGTACAAACTTGTACAAGGTACAAAGGTGATAGAGTGGGTGCTTGAACTAACATGGGATAAAACACAATAAGCCAATAGGCTTCAGTGTTATTCGGAGACACAAAGTCAGACGAGCCCAGGAAAAAAAAAAACTCAAAACTATAACTTACCTTATTTTGGCAGTAACCCGACGATATGGTTTTAATGGTTTAGAGATGATTTAGACCTTCTGAGAGCTATTTTCAAAATGGATGATATTCATAATATTACGAACATCAGATTAAAAAAAAATGTCGAATTTCAAAGGCTATTATTTGATAATACACAATCATAATATGAATAAAATAAAGAACAGAACTATATAACCCATATACTTCTATTTTTCTGCATTGTTTCTAAGTATTTACTCATTTCAGAACTAGGATAAGGATATTTCTTTCTAGGTCTAATCCACTTCACATTATTTAGGTCTTTTAATAAAGGATCAATCATCCACCATCCACATACCTGAGAAGAAATTGCCGGACGAACGTAAATATCCATCGGTCCCACCGGCTTTAACATCTTCTTCCTCTTCAGTACTTCCATCATATTTATAGAATTGTAAGCGAATCCATCAGCGTTTCCGATATATGGATCGAGAACCCTCATTTTTTCTAGTAACGTTAAATTTTTGTTTCCAGATTCAAAGATGTTTCTTGGTTCTTTTGTAGGTTCTTCATAATCCGGTCTTACATAGTCTGAAATTGGTTTGTCGAAACCTTTACTTGTAAGGCCGAAAAAATTCATATTTTTTTCTATTTTTTAGCCTGTACTTCCTGAAAATTTAGTTTAGTGGCCCAAAAATGTTCCTAAAGGTTTTCTTTAAATGACACTGATAATTAAGCAACTGACATATCTATCATTTGAGGGTTACAGAGCTTACGTTCTAAGCAGGAGAGTGGAAGGTGCTCTGCGCTAATAATTCTTTCCTAGCACTTCCATTAATATTAATTTATTTCCATTTATATCCGACGAATTATTTATCCATTTTGACTGAATTATTGTAGTACATAAATAAATAATTATTATTACATCATCTATAAAGTAGAAAATAATGTACTTTTCAAAAATTTAAGTTACTTTAATTCTAATATTATATGAATTTTATGAAAAGAATAGTTTATTTCATACATAATTAAATAAATAAGTAAAATATGTCTACTGTCAAAGGGACAAAATTTCATTTATTTATAAATAAAATCGATTCCAGTTTATTGAGCTAGAGTGAGATTACAGAAGCTCTGCAAATCCTACTTGCATCTGCAAATATCAATAGCAGTTGCAAAAGAGAAACAGGATATTACAGAAACGTGTTTTCACTTTTTGCGTCTGCAAATCATCTGATATTTTGCATCCTACATCCTACAAACTTGCAGATTATTAATTTTTACTTTATTTTTTTTTTTAATAACCGTGAAGTCTTTTATTTCTTTTGATTGAATACAGTTTGTAGTGTCAGATTATTGAGTTAATAAAGAGATTAATGGATTTGGGTTTAGTGTTGTTGGGGATAATAAACCACAATAAATATTGGCGAATTTGCAGATATTTTTTGGAATACGAAAACTTGAAACTTGCATCTGTAAGTCCGCAATATTTGCAGATCCGCAAAGTTGCCGCCATATTTACAGATCTGCAAAGTTGCAGATGTTCTATAATCTCAGTAATAAAAATCAAATAAAATTCATATAATAAGACAATCGATTATAGAAAATTTTAATCTATTTGTTCATAATAATGTGACGATAGTCTAATTTATTTATTTATTTAAAACACATTAAAATTTATTTATGACGTACTAATTAATATATGTAATATTTAGACACTAACTTACGAAGTATTCATGCTTTTCCAGGGGCTGGTAACTGATCTTGAAGTTCTGGCAATTGACCAAACTTCTTCCGAAATACAGATGCCAAAGACAGGGTCAAGTGTTTCTTGGAGCTGGTTTACTTCTTCCTCTTTATGGTCACCCTCAAATGGCGCCAGCCAGTTTTGGTGCACTACCTTCGGTTTACCGTTCGGGATCTTACTTATACGGTAAATGATATTATTGATTTTTTTCTTGATGAAGTACGGACCTTCCCAAGACCTTTGAAGCTTTGAAGAATAAGCCTTCTGTCTTTTTGGGTTATGGATCCAGACTTTGTCGCCTTCCTTAAAACATCCTTCTGTGGCTTGGGGATGGTGTCGCCTCTTCATTTTTTCACTGGCGATTTGAAGATGCGAGCGGACCAATTCTTCTTCGTAACTGGATCACATTATCTTCACCAGCTACATCTTCTCCAGGTCGGCATCCAAACTCAAGGTCGCACAGTAGTCTCATCTCACGCCCAAACAGGACCTTTGCTGGTGTTTGGCCTGTTAATTCATTGACAGCGGATCTATAAGCCATGACAAAGAGCAAAAGATATTGCTCTCAATCTGGCTGATGGTTTGAATATACTTTTGACAGATATTTACCAATGGTCTTATTTCATTCGTTCTACCATTCCATCGGATTGTGGGTGCAATGCTGTGCTTCTAGTTTTCTTCATGCCTAGTCTGTCACAGATTCCACGAAAGAGTTGGCTTTCAAAATTTCTGCCCTGGTCACTGTTGATCTCCAAGGGCACTCCAAATTGACAGATAAACTCTTTAATTAACACATCTGCAATAGTTGCGGCCTCTTGATTTGGAATGGCGTATACTTCCACCCACTTCGTGAAATAATCCATAACCTGCATCGTGTACTTATTACCTTCCTTGATCGCGGGGAATGGTCCAGAAATATCTAAAGCGATCCTCTCAAATGGAGATCCATTACTCATAGCACAGCTGATACATTTCTTACACCAGTCCTTTCCATCATCGGAACTGTTTATCCAATAAAACCTTTCCCGCACTCTCTGAGATGTCCTCCTGATAGACTGTCGTGTAACTGACGAAGTTCTTCGGCTACTCTACTTCTTGGAATGACCAACTGTCTTCTGTTCTCGGAACCATCATCATTTTCAAATACTCGCTTTAATAAGCCGCCTTCCAGGATAAAAGAGTCCCACTGAGCCCAATATGATTTAACTACTGGAGAGAATTTCGATACTTCTTGCCAAGTAGTTCAACGATTTTCCTCTTTCCATTCTCTTATCTTCTTTTAAACGGAATTGTCCTCGTGTTCTTCCCTAAGTTTGACAGGGGCGCACAACTTATTGTAACTTATTTAACAGATGTGGCCAATCCCTTTCCAATAAGAGTTCCTTGACCAACATCTTCATTGCGCTTCGAAGGTTCCGCCATGACAGGCGTTACCTTTTTACAGTTCCTTGCAACCGCCTTACTCTTATGGTTTTACTACTTTCAGGTAACATTGTTCCTTCCTGTACAGTTTACAGCTCCTTCCAATTTTAACTTTGACTCTACCTCATGGCACTTTATTTCACCGTCCTTGAATGTTCCAGTTCTTCTATCTTCTTCTCCATCTCTTCTATTTTCTCCTCAACGGAAGACATTATTTTCTCCTCAACAGTCATCTTATTTTCCACAACAGCAGAAATTTCATTTTTCATAGAAGACATTTTCTTTTCCAAGTCGAAAGAAATTTCATCATTTAAAGAAGATATATCAGAAGAAACTTTAGTTTCTAAAAAAGAGATGTCGTTTTTCACGGAAGCAACATCAGAAGAAATCTTTTTTTCTAAGGAAGAAATGTCTGAAGAAACTTTAATTTCCAAAGAAGAAATGTCAGAAGAAACTTTATTTTCTAAGGAGGAAATATCTGAAGAAACTTAAGTTTATAATGATGAAATAGAAGAAATATCGGTTTTCATAGAATAAATAAATTGAATAAATTATAGCAGACGCATCATCCGAAAATAGAAACGTTTTCGGATCCAAACCTTGACTTTCTAGTGCTTTTTTAAGTCATTCTGCCACGTCTGATTTCTTCCCTGTCATCTCCAATTCATGTTCTTCTAATTCTCGACGAAATTCGGCCACTTTTAAATCACACAGTGTTTTAGCCATGATTATCCACTATTTATTTATAGTTCCACTTCTAACACCAATGTTACGATAGTCCAATTTATTTATTTATTTAAAACACACTATTTACAATTTATTTATGACGTACTAATTTATTTACTTAGACACTAACTTACAATTCTAATTTATTTATTACAATTTAACTTTTTATTCCCTTGCTCTATACTAAATTAAACTATATACAACTGACAACCGTCTTCAAACTCGCGATATTTATATCAAGCCAACTCTGTAACCAGGATACTCTAGACGGTGTGGAATATCCTAGACTTCCATCTCTATGACTCAGCGTCAAGTACCTACCGCTTGTTCTGGTATATTCGAGAAGCATCTGATCGTCTCTGTATTGCCAGCGCGCCGCTAGACTCCATACCGCAGGAGTAAACAACGGACAGGGTAGGCCTAGGAATTTCATGACAATAATAATATGTTGGTATATGTGGTAAGTTTGGATGTCAATGATATAGTAAATATAGATTGTTTTCTTTATTATCTCAAAAATTGAATTTGCATATAATAATACTAAAATGTTAAATTATGTTAACAATTTTGCTTAAATGAAATTTGACATACAGGTAGAATAAAAAAATAAGTATACTGATAATTGAATTTTGATTTTGATCTGGTTGGTAATAAATAAAAAATTAATAACAATATTAAAAAAATATATTAATAAATAAATATATAATAATAACAATTTAACTAAATTAAAACAATTTGAAAATTTTAATAAATAAAATAAAATTAAGTGAAACTATATCTGCTTAAATTCAACCTGAGAAAGAGATGATCTCATGCTCATTTCAAAGTTAAGAGTTAAGGCCGCAGTATCACTGTATTTTTTATATAAAAAGCAAGGGTTCACCATTTTTAGAGGTTTTAGAGATGGTTTTAAAAGGTGAATGATTGTTTAGAGGTATTAATTTTTGAACCAGAGATACAGCTGTATACCGTCTTTTATTGTTTTATAATTTTCATATATATTCGTCTCGCTTGGTTCCAACTAAAAAATTGTCGATTTATTTTTCCTTTGTATGAACAAGTGTTGGCCACGTTGCCAGATTATCAATATATACGATACTTTCACAATTATTTCTAGGACGAATTTCATTTGAAAGTAAGTTAAATATACAATCGTGAAATGCAGGAAAGGGAAGGAACTTTATTGCATTCCGATGTAATTTGAATCCGAATGACCTGGCATCACTGTATGATACGCACGTAATATTTGCGGACTTGGCTTTCTTCTATCTATCAAACAGCTATCAAAATAGTCATTAAAAATAATCAGGTCAATACATAACAATGAAAACATTTAAAATTTTCAATGAGCCGTCTTAAGGATTTGCAAATTGCTTTGTGTATTTATCTGTTAAGCATATTAATTTAAAAAGTATAACCGAAAATAGATGGTGATAAAAATATGTTCCACCACTGAAAACCACTTCTTTGAGTAGGTCTTAGAAGAGTGGTAATATATTCTGTTAATTACCAAAAAACTTATTATCAAGTGCTATTATTCACTTCTAATTCTCCTAATGGTCGGTATTATGAAAGTTTCAAACTCTGTTTTATGGTATTTTCTTTTAAATTAGGTACCTGTCATTGTGGCGAAATTTTCCATAGTTTTTAATATTTATTGCTTCCGATATTGCAATCTCATGAGATGAAATATATCTCTTACGTTCTTTATGAAAATGTGTGTGACGTAATGTAATAATGTTTGTAAATGCTCTTTTATGTACATAAAAGATATTGAAAAATGAATTATTAAAAAGCATATATGTTTGGTCAAGTACGTTGTGAATTTAAGCGAAATAAATTATCATTTATTGAGATGGGACACTTGAACCAATTAGTATAGTTCGTTGTAAATTATAAGAAATGGAATTCCCTAATCATACTATAGACAGGGTCGGAATGAGAAATGTCTGAAAAAAAATGTTTTTTTTTTTAACATTATTACGTGACAAATTATAAGAGAAGGAATATCCAGTGTTACTGTAAATAGGATCAAATAATTTTAGACAATTTTACCAAGTACCAAAAGAGAATTTTAATTTTTATCCTAC